CTCAAAATACGTCATGGCAGGCAACATTTACATCCTCCCTACCGTAATACTCTTGGCTTGGAAGCATTTATGATTTCTTTGACAGCGTTTCTGTCATCGGCTGTTCGGTAGAGTTTTGTCATATTGGCTCAAATCTCAGTCGCCACCAGTTGGTGGTCTCTTCAGACACTCGGACTCGTCAACATGGTGCAGTTCCAAACCCGGGACAGTAGAGCTCTAGGCTGAGCTTATGTATACGCGTCACAAGCGTGATCGGCTCTTCAGGCTACTCCGCTTGAAATGTCTGACCAATGTGTTACCCGGCGACTATCACTACATTCTCCAATAACTCTGAATCAGTACATTCCTGTTTTTGAGGACACTGTACTCTCAAGTCACTCATCCTAAGAACATCGTCAAACATAGGCATCTTTCTCTGGTTTTACCTGTCCTGATTGCTCAAAATTTCAATATCGGTAGGAATAATTATTCTCAGATGTGATGAGGATCAACCGTTCAAAGCGATATTTCTGACATTTCTTGTCCGGTGTAAAACATCCGAACCACAGAGTGCCACGTCACACCCAAAGCATTGATATATCTACGCCGCCTTAATGAAAAATCATACCATTCCGACGACCCTCTCAGTGGATATCAAGTCATAAAGCAGACGACTGAGCTTCATGTCCACATCTGCTTTGCCGACAGAGGCGAAAACCTTGTGGCGGAATATCAAGTCTCTGTACAATACAACACAAAGAAAACATACGCAAAACATGGCTATTCCGCATCTAAACAAACCGAACCGCTATTTCCTACGCTTCCAAACCAACTGGACAGTTGCATGTGAGATTACGTCAAATTGACGATTCGATCCGAGACGTTGGTGCTGTTCACTGAGAGTCACGTCTTCTTCCAACTCTGCGAACCTCTTTCCCTGTGAGTTTCAATCCTGTTTGTGTGAGCCCTCAACTACTGAAGCTATGTTCAGCAGAGGTGTGCAAAGTCCTGAAGGAGGTTCATCCTTCGCTACATACCAACTCCCAATGACTCGCGAATAGCATCAGTTGCTTCGGTGTGAAAAAGCAATTCAATGATGGCAAGTGTCTTCTTCTTCCGGCCAACTACCATCACGTCTGTCCTCCTAAAGAGCTTAGAGTCTAGTTAAACTCTTCTTGTATGAAAATATCGAAAACTGCATTTACCCTGGGCAGTTCTTGCACCGAAAGAGACTAAGCACTGATGACACCACCGCCCATGTCACAAACGAAGTTGGAAAAGAGTTGCACAGAGGCGAGCGAATCCACCGTACACCTTCGCACGATCTACCCTCAGCGTTCCACCCAATCCCTTTGTCGAGACTCTTGTGGAAACCGTGTGCTCTCACTACTGACCACTACATCATACGGTAGTTTGTAAACTACTTTACTCGGCAGGAAAAGATCTGACGTAATGCCAAACAACCTCGGTGTCGTATGCGGCTAAGCTCAGACCTTCGATCCTTATTGTTGAACATTTCCACTAATGACTGTTTCGCTAATGCTCCTCTCAATTCTGCAAAATATGCTGATTATAATGTCGTTTTGAGTTCCACGAGGGCGCCTGAACCTCGTTTCGTCTACTGTATCAAAACCCTGGCAGCAGAGTACAGATTGCAAATAGCGAGACCTACTCAGCAGTTACATGGACAGAATTCAAACCGTAATCAGCGGGAACCTGTGGCAACGACAAATGGCAGACATAAAATGTCAAAAATCCACAGTGGCACGTTTTAAACGCAAAATAATATCCGAGTGTGGAAATCAATATCAGACAGAGTTCTCTATTAAGAAAGTTTTTAAAATTTATGCTA